TCCGTGAATAATCAAGGCATCACATAAGGAGCGGGATATGGGCTAGCACAATAATTTACAGAATCAAACGAGCACTTACATTTTACATGACTACTTAATGCAGTGTAGGGAATACACAGACTGATTGACTGGTGCATTCAATTCGGACAAGCAATCACCACTCTCGACATCTTCCGGAATTCCCTCCCTCTTCTCTCTACACGTATAGGGAGTAGCAAAATGGAAGCTGCACTACCATCGAGTCAAGGAGCCATCAACCATCTAATTATTCTTCTTTATTTTCCACCCTCGTACTCCTTCCGTCGTCTCTCCAACAAAAGATACATCACGAAATCACCCCAAAAGTACAATACATATATATTTATATATATTTATAATATCATTCCATTTGGTCAAACACACGTCGTTAATAATATCATCAAGACCCGAGCCAGTCTCCCTTACGTATTACGATAAATCACGCACAGGTACATACACATACAACACATGTATCATTCACAGTGTCAGTCAAACCTTGACAGGCAAATATATATTTCATATACAAGCCATGATTAATCATAATTACAATTATACAGCTACATATAGTAATTGATATACACCTATTATTGGTGAGTGGTGATCTGTGTTTACAATACGAACAAACTTTGATCTTTGGGAAATTCGCGTATTTGCATATTGTGCATGTATATTGGATCTCCCATATATATATATATATACGAGACAAACGTATATTTGCCTCAGATACCCGTACCTCCGAAAGGAATGTGCTGTATACGCTGTACACATGTACCTATACACATTTATGGTCACAGAGAGACGAGGGGGATGAAGATGGGCGGTAGAGCGAAATGGTTCCGATGGAGCGGGTGAGTACGATACCCGAAGTCGATTCGGACGATGACCGCCGCTTTTCCCTCGCGACGTCTTTCCTGTTGTCGCGCGACCAAATCTGCGGGATCAATACACATATATATATAAATATATACCACCTGTATCGAGGATATAATATATATCCTGTACACACACAGTTGTACAGAGGGTCCAGACAGCGTACATATACTTACACGTGCTGGAAAATTGCCGCAGCCCCATCAACTCCGTTCCTGTGGTGCCGCGATTTTGGATGAGATGGTCAATGCGGGGATCGCTTTGTACGGCCGAGGGACGGGGAGCAGATACCTCGTTTGTATTCTCTCTACGCCTGCATCTATACAAACTCATTGCGCGTCCCAGCTTTTCCTTCAGGACTTGGCTACGCGTTGTACCCACAGGGTGGAAATTTATGCGGGCATGATTTATCAAATTTTCTCCACCCCCCTCTCCGTTTCTTCGCCAAAGTGGTCATCGGCATATACTATGTATCGCGTATCATGCGCACTGTATGTAAATACATCACTTATACACGTTGGCTCAGCATCTCCGGTGTATATATATATACACCTGTGCATCTAATGCTCGGATGGTGATATTTTCGAGCCGAAGAGGGCAACTTTGTTAAGAAGAGAATGATCTAATGATCCAAACTCGTACCTCATTTGCTGCTTGGCCCCGATATACTCACGCATAAGAAATATAGTGAACAAGGCCAATCATTTTCATTGATTTTGATACGAGTAATATCATGTGCAAGAATTTTTAAGATAAGTATCTGGTGATTTTGTAGCGATGCGCGCTCCTACATTGTTTGCAAACGCGAGGGTGACCATTTAGATTTTCATCGAATCCTCTCATGTACGTCATGAATTTAACAGCGACTTGTCAAGAGAGCAGAGAAATCTATATAGTTTTGATGAAATGTTTTTCAAGGTGAAAAGTTCTGACGAAAAATCAATGACAAAGTTAAACAATATACATATACATCAGCACCAAAGTACTTATACTCGAGATTGTAAGCGCGAATGGATATGACACAAAAGCCCCTCTGGCCGACAAGATTTTGGGGCATGTTGCGGTAACAGCTACGAAAGAAAAAAAAAAAAAAAAAAAAGAAATTCCAATAGAAAAGACGACACATACCTACACAAAAACGTGAATGTGTATAATATATACATGCCAGCATTGGTAAATATCGGCAAATCAGGGCATCTTGGCCGTGACATCAGGACTGTGCGGGATAAACCCAGCATTACAAGTGGATAACGTTCGAGCGAGTGTTCAAGTACCATTGCAGTAAGTATACTCGACTTTTGTGAGCAAAGACATACGTATAGCTTGTATACACTGTACTGTGCTGTACTGCGCATCGGAAAAAAAAAAAAAAAAAACTAAGAGGTATAATACTTGACATCTCAAAGTTTCTCAGAGCGGTCGCATGCATCTGTACCTGTATCAAAATGTATCAAATGGACACAATTAGTGTGAGAGTATGTATAATAAGGTACATTATGTAGGTATACTTGTACGGTAGAGTTCAGAAGACGGTCGGAGGTGAGAGAAAAATTTTTCAGGCACGAGGTGCTCGCGTGAATGCCGTCCATCCCACAAAAACATAAACACACACATATATATATGTATACTTACTTGGGAATCTTGATCTTGATTCTTTAATTTTCGCGTTTGTAAGTATCACCGAAGGAGGTAGCTAGACAATATAAGTATAGCTGTAACCACGCCTATTTCGCATAGCCCGCGAGCTAATTTTATAAACATTTTTTTCCTACAACAATAACTTATGGCTATACCTTTACATGTGTGTATGCATACATCATAGTTACAATGTGGTACAATCTTGTTCGTATACCGAGTGATAAAGATGATAGATAATCATCATCGTCCCTGGGAATGCAATAAATCGGTCTGTCCCATAAAGATTAGTGAACCGCTGTGGAGGAGAGAGAAGCTCTTGGACCTGGGCGCGGATAATAATAACAATAATACATACATACATACGTACATACCTTAGCATCTTTATCCGCGCACACTCTTTTATATGATGTAGGTATACACATTCGTACCTATATATATACTCGCGAGTTCAACTGTATTTATGATAGAGATATGTACACATGAAGGTACTTTACGCAGAGGTACCGATCGAGAGATATCAAGTGGTTGTATGTATGTAGGTGTATATTATAGAAAAAAAAAAAAAAAATGTGTGCGAGCAAGGGTAGGGTGCGAGTTGAAAAAAGAAAAATGGGAACGGAGGGCGCGACGCGTTTTTACCACCGACGAAACAAGAGGCCTACCGGAGGGGGGGGAGGCATAAAAACAAGTAGATTCTGCAGCTGATATGCATCAGTGTGTACGCGGGTCACTCCGTGATTTAACTGTCCATCAACAATTACCACAAGAGAGAGAGAGAGAGAGAGACAGGATATATATGATGTACCTATTAAGTGTGTGCAAACAACAAAAGCAGCGGGTGTTACAACTACTACCGGTCGATCGGCGATCCGCAAATTGCGCCGTCAATTATTCATCCCTCATGCGAGCACCGCTGTTTGATATGACTGCTGCTCGGTATAGTTGTAGGTACAGGTGCTGGATTAGCCGTATATGTATATATATACGTATATTATGTGCAAGTTGCTTTGGCGCGATAACAAACATTTTGTGCTGCTCGTTGTCGTTGCAGTCACCGCCGCGGTCTTATTGTTACACTGTTCCTCCGCCAACTTCTACACGATTTTTCAATACCGCATCATCCGTCTATTATACGTATGACTCGAGTGCCCGTGATTTTTCCTCGTGTGCGGTGGTATATCGTTTCGTATAGGCGAGAGTTGATTGTCACAAGTGTACAAGTGCATGCGGTGGTGCTATTGTGAAGTAAAAAATTCCAAGTTTACTTTTCTCATGGTTAATGTTCGCTATAGAGTATACGCATGTGTGGACGGCTACACATCAGGCATGAGAGCCAGACACCAGCTCATGTATATAGTCTTTCTGTTTTTAATTCATAATAATTTTAACAAACATATAAGGGATTTTAAACCGATATGGCCCAATGGGCTCGAGTTTTTCCGTTTTCAGTTGTGATGCGCAAAGTTGCGGTACGTTATTATCAAATACCCACTTGAATACAGTATATGGGCATTACAACAGTGTGCGGTGCAACTCAAAGTTCGATGCTCGTATGAATCCACGCGTATTGTATAGACATCATACATTACATATCTTGTAAATGTTAAACTCGTAGCTAATAATCTAAAACACCCAAAATCACACTCGGTGCACCTATATAAATATGTATACCTGCAGTATTGGTATTTTGCATAAAATCGTATCACGTGTATCTACTCATCTACACTCGAGAGTGGTGCAATGAGTATACATGTGTAATAGGGAGAGGGGGGGGCGGGATGGTCACGATGGATAAATAATTAGAGGGAAAGCAGCGGAGCTCGGGTAGAAAAACATTTAACCAGAGAGAGGGAGAGGGAAAATATTGTCCTTTGCCGGGAAAATCGAGCGAAAGAGTGCAGTTGGTGGACGTATAAGCTCGTGCCCCCTCCAACACGAATACGATTATATTTATTCCGCTGGAAAAGTGCCAGCGAGTTTGTACTCCCGCGATTATACCCCCGCCTTTGCACTCGAAAGAAATAAGCCGCGGGGGGTGGGAAATAAAATTGTGCAAATACAAATCCCGAGCTCTCTCTCTCTCTCTTTGGTATATTTTGTAGAAAAACACGGGAATCGGCCCCGCGTGCATGGAAATGTACAAGCTCTATAAGCGGCGAGGAAAAAGGCCTCTCCAAAGTTCCTTGCGATAAAAAGGGAACGAGCCCCCCGGCGTGAGTGCAACCGGCTGAAACCGCTCTCCATTACAACTGCATCACTAATCGGTAACAATGGATCATTTACACTCGGGCAAACCTTGGATTTTTCGGCGTTGGGAAGAAAGAGACTAAGTATCCGCACCTCCCGAATCGGCTCTCTCCTCGAGCGACCTGAAAAAACTTTGCTCGCCCCGTCTCCTCTCCGAGAGATCACACGTAGCGAACCTACACACATATATATAGAGTTTCACTGAAAAAATAACGCAGATGGAAGCGATGGAGGAGCGTCGGCCGAAGGAATCGGCGAAGCGGCGGGGCCGGGGCGCCGAGTCGGCGCTTTACGAGGTCGTCTGTCCCGCGGTGTACGTCATCCGGGTGTTTGGTCTCGCGCCCTACGCCTACCCGAGCGACAATCGGCCGCCCCTGCTGGGCCCCTCCAACTTCAACTGCATCTACACCCTCGGCTGGATCGCCGTGTACAGCTACATCGTCGTCACCTCGCTCATACGCTTCGAGGGCCTCGACCGCAACAAACCCGTCCTCGGCATCACCGAGAACGGCAAGGTACACCCCCTACACGCGTACAAGCCATTGTATTTTTCCCCCTCGTATATACATATACCAATACTCACATAATCTCCCGTCGCGAAACGATCCACCGCTAAATTGGCGAGGGTCGTATCTTGTTACGGGCAAGTCGCAAGACCGGCATCGCCCAAATATTAATACGCGTCTCAACTTTGAGCAACTTTGAGTACGTGCATGGTGTCGGAGTGGATGTAGAGGTAACGCCCCGAGTCTGCCAAGTATATGAATAAAAGTGAAAGTGAAGCGGAGTCGGGCAAGCAACATTCAATCAAGCGCGCCCTCGCTCGAATAACGCGGTATACTTAACGCGCGGTTCCCTAATATTATTGAATCTCTGGCTCCCGTTCCGGTTGTTTACCCGCGCTCTTTGCCTCCGACGCAACCCAAAAGCCCCTTTTCATACGTGTGCATCGTTCTTGATTCTCATTCTTTTTTTTTTTTTTTCTACATTCACGCGGCAACAAAGAGATTGCTCGCTCGCTATCTGTTTGTTTTATTCTGGTCTAAGTAATGGACGCAAAGTAAACTTTGTCGCATACGCTTTCACACGGTCCCTTAAATGTACACGTGTATATTATATACCCGTATGTAATACATACAGAGGCGCTCGTGGTTTCGTATATATATATATATAATATCGTCTCGATTTATCATCTGTGTTGGGTATTTTTGTCGAACACTCGTATTTTTCCTCCATAAGGGTGCGTATGATTTTCCCTCGGGGGGAGAGACTACGCGCCCCAAGCCCTAAGAATTAATTTTTATTTCGGACGATAAACAAACACACCGTTTTCGTATGACAAATCGACGCGCGCAAGGCCAACTGTGGTATAAACTCTCTTACGATTTTAATATGCCCCACGCGTAGATATATAGGTACATATACGCACGTGATGTTTTTTTTTTTTTTTTTTTTTAATTCTTCGACCCAGCGATTTCAATTTAATAGCATTTCCCACCTACTTTGTTTGACTTTATCGTTTGATCGCNATTTTTATTTCGGACGATAAACAAACACACCGTTTTCGTATGACAAATCGACGCGCGCAAGGCCAACTGTGGTATAAACTCTCTTACGATTTTAATATGCCCCACGCGTAGATATATAGGTACATATACGCACGTGATGTTTTTTTTTTTTTTTTTTTTTTTTTTTTTTTTTTTTTCGAAACAACGGAGCCAATAGCACACGCATCATTTGCAAGATAAGATGATCTCATGCATATATGTATGTTTTCCTCCCGACTCGTAAATTACCATAATATAATGTGAGAATTATTTCTGTATATACAAAGTCGTCCGTGCTCATCTGAACGTGAAGTGATGCTTATATATATATATATATACATCACTTGTTTGCACCCCCCAAGTTTCAGTATACCTTTGAACTTGTACATTTAAGGTCGAGTGTATACTTATAAGTAGGTATATTATGTTACTTAATGAGAGAAGCGTCAACAGCCAACGCTCGTTCATCGATCACTTTTCTCTTCTCCAAACTCAGGAGACGTGTCATTATTATCGCTACACCCCAGCTCTCTTTCACGTATGTACTCACGATCCGACGAAATTTTTTATGGATCGAATAACTTGGTCCAGCCCAGCGATCCCACGGGAAAGCATATTATCAAGTTTTTACCGAAATGTCCGAGTGGCTTACACTGAGCAACCCAATTCTTTGAATCAAAGAAAATTTCTTTACCCTCATTCCGTTAAATATTTTCTTATGAGTAAAAAAATATAAGTTAATTGAAAATAATATTTTATTAAATCAAAATTTTCTTTTTTTAATTGCGAATTTCTCATTTAGTTGTACGAAATGTTTTTTTGAATCGACTAAATTTGTTTCAATTAAAAGAAAATATTTAACGAAATGAGGGTAAAGAAATTTTCTTTGATTCAAAGAATTGGGTTGCTCAGTGTACGTTGTTTGGGAGGCTCGGCGATAATTTTATAAAAACAAGAGAAGGGGAAAAAAATGCTTTTCAAACATAATATTGGGTGTTTTGAAAAAAAACGGCCCAACTATTATCATGACCTTGAATTTGTATAATTTTATTAAATGACGATTTGCGCGCGTTCCATTTGTGTTGAATGCATACTCCCTTCAAATTACACATTTTGCCATTCGAATGGTGCACCTATGATATGTAGGTATGAAAAAAAAAAAACATACAATGACGTTTGAAACACCAGCTGGTCTTGAACTACCTGGTCCTGTTGTCGGACCTCGTGCTGGGGGTTCTGTGGCGCGAGCAGTTCATCCACGTGTGGAACTCGATCGAGGAGTTTGACGAGTCCTTCGAGCTGGCCGCGGTGGTCCCGGGCACGTCCTCCCGGCGCAGCCCCATATTCGGGCGGACGCGCGTCTGGCTGTGGGCGACCCTGCTCGGCACCTTCCTCGCCTGGCTGCTCATCAACCAGCTCGGCATGGTCGCCTTCAACGAGCCCTACCTCCAGAACGTCAGCTACATGATCACGTACGTCGGCTCCTGCGTCGCTGTGTTCAAGTTCTGCGGACTGGTCGTGCTGCTGGGCCAGCGCTTCCGGCACCTCAACGAACTAGTGCGCCTCGGAAGGCCCCTCGACCCCGAATCCGAGGCCTTTATCAAGGTACGTGCACTCCCCGAACGACACTTTTTTTTTTTTTTTTTTCAAATGGGGTGTACGGATAACCGAGTACAAATATTGCCTCTCACGAAATTCGGAAAACGCCACCCGTGCTCGGAGCTGGTAGACGTTTGAAATTTGTTTACGTAGCTCACAATACCTCCAAGGAGTATTGTTGCCCGCGCTATCGCAGTTACTGCGTTAAAGATATTTTTTTTTTTTTTTTTTTTTTTGCGCTAAAACAAAACAGGTGGATATATACATTATACTTTTGGACTCTAAAGGGGTTGCTGCTCGGCACATAATTTGAGGTACAAATGATATAATGTTGTTCCTTTTGGGGGGGTGGCGGGGGAGAGTAGAAGATCGAGACATCGTACAGTCAACTGGTGAGCACGAGCGAGGAGCTCAACGACATATACTCGTGTTCCCTGCTGCTCTTTCTCCTGAATCTCTTTTGCCACGTGGTTAGCAACATGTACTTCTTCACCATATGGACGATCGTCGACCCTACCTACCTGGAGAACCCAAAGGTCGTCTTTTGCGAGTTCAGCTGGCTGATCATTTATCTCGCGCAGCTGCTGCTGCTACACTCTGCCTGTCACTACGCCTCCCACGAGGTACAGTTCCCCCCCCCCTCCTACAATCGATAAGATCCGTCAATCACCCTCTGGCATTTCCAATCTCTTTTTCTCTACTCCTTGCCCCCTTTGCCGCGGAAATAAAACATTTTATCCGCACACGCGCGTGCAAGGTATGCGAGGAGACAAACCACCGATTTTCTCTGGCTTTTTCAGGCGAATCGCATGGCGCTCGGCCTGCTTGGCTGGCGCAGGCACGTCTACAGGCAAAACCAACAGACCGTAATGATTCTTTTCGTCTCGACACTTTAAACCTCTCTCTTTCTCTCTCTTTTTTTTTTTTTTTTTTTTTCTTCTCCTTACACTTTACTTTCGTAGTCTAAACTTGAAATAATTAATCAAAAATTACTAGGTGTTTCATTATATGATCACGTTGCAGGAAATCGGTTCCACATTGCATTTGTTGAACCGGAAACTGAGCTTCACAGCTTTCGGCTGCTTCAAAGTCGACCTGCCACTCTTGACGTCGGTAAGCGACACCTTTTTTTCTCCACAACCGTATACTTTTAATTGTCAACCGCGTCTCTTTTCAGACCATGGGACACATCACCACGTATCTAGTGATTCTTCTTCAATTGCCGGACAACAACTCATAAGTTGCACATCATCAATAAGTACCGTTGTTCAAATAACTAAATTACCTATATTTATTATTTTATTGAATGTGTTACATATTGGCATTAAAAATAAAAAATAAAAAATAAAAATTACAGCATTTGATTCATTTTTTGTACAATAGAAAAAAGAAAGATTTATAATTAAATTACACCTTAACTTGTAAAAACAGCTGGCGAGTATTTTTTTTTTCATAACCATTTCACGCATTGAAAAGTCTATCGCTTTAAATTACCAAAGTTTACGGACCAGCGTAGCTGGTATTATAGTTGCAGAATTTATTTTTTCTACAACGTGCGTATCGAAATGCCGAAAATAAATGAGGGGAAACTTGTTGAAGCTTTTGGGATTACCTTCGTCTAAACTCGAGTACTACACTTTTCTTCGATCCTTTAAATTTTGTCAGGTTCGAACCAACTTTTTCACATCGAGGCACTTTGTACCCATACAAATACAACATTTGATTCTACCGGCCAAAAGAAAAAAAAAAAAAAAAAAAAAAAATAGGCGACAGAGTCGCTGAAGCAAAAAATCAATGTCCCGGAATAAAACAAATTCACGCGCGCCGTTGGCACGTATATCACGTGCAGCGGGAAAAACGGTAAGGCGTCGAACGAAATCACCCGGAATTGAATGAAAGTAAAAAAAAAAAATGATTTTGGCGTTTCAGTTATCCTCTTCCTAACTTATTATTTATGACCTTTTATGTATACCCCAAAAACTTGGACCATGAAATTTGTGCAATCACGGTAAAATCACGGCATGGCAAACGAACTCTCGTGAATATCTTTCCTCCTTTTCGCGTGCACAGGAAAGTAGGCATCGCGCATACATGCACGCAGGATACTTTACGAGTAGCCCCTGAGCGTGCCCGGGGTCCCAAGATGATTACGCCCAAGTTGGAGAACCCACTGCCTCCCTACGTCGCGTGTGCACCGCCTTCCGGACGATTTAATGGAAAAAACGCGCTCCTCCACCTTCGAGGATTTCATTTCCATCTCATCTCGCCCAACCCCATGCATCGTATGGGTGCTGTGCGTGTAAGTATTGTATAGGGTTTATTAGCGCCGGTGGACTTTAATTCAAAGTAATCGGACGTGGAGTAACGCGAGAAAACAGGATAGGTGGTGCTTCTCCTTCGAAGCTTCGGGGGTCGACGAACCCAAAACTCGGGCTGTTACTGCTTATAGCCGCGGATTTCGCGCCCCAAGCGGGAGGCAAATTGGGCGGATGCCTTTCTCCGTCTCGTCGCCCAAGGGACTTTTTCCACGTCTTCCCCACCGACAGCTTCTTTCTTCAATTACTTACGCCAAGTGGAAAAAAAAAGCTGCAACTCGTTGGTTCGGGGCAGGGTTTTGCAACGCTCGATTTTCCTGCTTCGTTAACCCCAAGCCCCATCGGCGAAGGAGAGGGAGTTGGCGAAATTCGATACTAATAACTTTTGCCAAGGCGATTCTAATTAACCGCTCCGCAAATTAGAAAAGCGTCATGAGAGCTCGCGCTAATGAATTTCGAGGACAAAAGAGTTTCATTTTGCTAATAGCGCCCCCACGGAAAACTCCTTACATATATATACGTCATTATTTATGGGATATCTTGACGAAACAGGTGCGAATAACCAAAGCCAATGGTATTTTATCAAATTATTATGTCGATGTGTATTTCGTCATGATTGAATCACATACAACCTGTAGGTGTAATTATAATAATTATATATGATATACAGTTTCGTTTGTACACTGTATAGGGCGTGAAAAAATGCTAAAAATACAATATAGTTTCAAATCAATGTTATGGTTGAAAAATATAATGAAAAAATTGTACATTTGTCGGTGCTCCAAAGCATAAATTACCTACTCGTATAATAATTGTAACTCTTGTATATACTTATGTCGTGAACTATAGATCTGTCGGACGAAAGAGATTCCGAATGATATACTTAGAAAAAAATTCGAAAAAACTACAATTCGCCGATCGGCTTGTCATTGAGGTCACGGAGGACCGTCTCCACCGCCTTCAGGACGCTCGCGTGGACCTCCTCGGGGTCGCAGCAGCCATCGACGCTGATCCAGGTGTCGGCGCATGTCTCGGACTCCTCGAGTTTGAGGAAGTTTTGTTTGACCTTGCGCTGCGTTTCGGCCCGCTCAAAGCGCTCGGCGCCCCAATCGGCGCGCGCCGACTGCGCCTCCTCGGTCACTTTGAGGAAGACCACCAGGTCGGGCTTCGGCAGACCCCTGTCCGGCACCTGGCACTGCTCCAGCGGCCGGCCCGTCGTCGCTGCGTTGTAAGCCGCCCCCGAGGCCGTGTACCTGAATTACCACACACGTATATTAATTACCAATTCCGATTTTTCGCGGTCGAGCCAATTAGAGCGCATCATCGAGCAGATACTGGTATATGATCGCAAGTAATCAAGCGTATACTTTTACACATACAGAGCTGATGGGGAAGAAAAGATAATTAAGTTCTCGTGTTTACCTCTTGTTACCTCGGAAAAGACCGAGGGAATCGAAAAACCAAGTTTCGCGCGGTGCAAGCGCCTCTGCCAATAGAATGAAAGTATAAGAGGGTACGTCGCTGCATATACACTCCGTTTCTATTTTATATTTCACTTTTGCTGGTATTACGACCGTTTGCGAATTTGTGGGGGATATATATATTTTGCCATTTGTCGAGAAGACAAAGTGCGGTGGGCGTCCCACGTACATATATACATAGGTACGCTCAAGTGTCACACGAGAGCGGTTTCTCGGCTCCGCCAACAAAAAAAAAGAAACAAAGGAGCATTGGCGGATTGTACGTGCGACAGAGTGACGCGCCGAGTGCCAGGGTATATACAAAACTTTGTCGTGGTTATTGGACTGGGCGTTAACTTTGAATGAAAAACAATGACACCGCACGAACTTTTTTCAAGTGCTCGCGCGAACGGAGCGGATCCTCCTTCGCCGCGCGAGATTTTCGAGGTCCCTCCCCGCGGGCGCGCTCGGCGGTGACTTTCGTCGACGCTTACACCGCTGGAAAACACAAGTTTCCTCAAGAAAATTGACCCCCCCCCACACACCTACAGTTGGGAAAAACTTGGCTAAACTACTTATTCTCGCGAGTGGCTCCGGTTTTTTTTTTTTCTTTTCATTATAATGCGAAAATCATCCCAAAACCCATTAGCTGATGTATTCCGTTGCTCTGGAGGAAGAATTCAAACAAGTATAATGGTTTTGTTGAATCGATCGATCGCGAAGAGAGGTGCCGAAATGTTTTGGGGTTGATTTGAATAAATTTGCTCCTCGGTTTTAATTAAATTTTTTTTGTTTAGGGGAAAAATAATGAAATTCTTATACAGGGCTGGTCCATTCGATGTTATTCAATTTGCGTTTCTATACGCCTCGGAAAACTGGGCAAAGGTTACATAAATTTTCCCTTGGGATGAGCTTTTTCTTGTCTTCCTCTCATAAACAGGAAAGTGGAGGCTTACACGCGCCCGTTATTTACGTACATTCTTGCTTTGCACCGATCGAAACTTTTCCTGGAAAAAATTTATTACACCGATGTGTATCATCTTGAAATCACTTTTCCGTGTTTTGATCGGTTGGAGTCTAATATTTAAATTATTGCCTCCTCGCTGCGGCTCAAAAATACAATTCAGCACATCAAATGGTAGAACATTTATAATAATATTTCATACAGTTCAGTGGATGTATGTTATTTTAAAAGAACAGTTTTTGTCGGTGTCCGAGTAATTTGCCGAACCGATCACAATTCTTCAAAAATAAAAAGAAAGCAGGAGTCAATAAAATTGGTTTTTTACCCATACAATGAAATTTATTTCCCACAAAATACAAAAAAAAAAAAAAATAGTACTATGCGTAAAAATTTTAATCAAAGGTTAGACCCTCGGGTTGGACAAAGCGGTGACTTTATAGGGTTCAAGTTGCGATCGTTGAAATCATGACATACGTATGGTAATGAAAAAAAAAAAAAAAAAAACGGAAAAAAATATGTAGAATGGCTATTAACAATGCCCGTCAAAATGTTGCAACAAAATCAAATACCAACAAATATGATAAATAAAAACCGGTTAGAGAAAACTTTGTGATGGGTTATTAGTATACCCAGGGTTTTTTCAAATGAAATTCTCAAAGACAATTACTAATGATAAATGTACTTTTTAAAAGGTCCTTCAGAATATAGAAAAAATCAGACGAAATAGAAAATGTAGGATAAAGCATAGAAAAAAAATTTTTTAACGTCACTGGCGAGGACTGACCTGTCGACAACGAGATTCGTGCCTTTGTTGAGGATCTCGTAGATCTTATCCTTGAACTCCCATCGATTGACAGAAAACAATAAATGCGCGGCCTCGATTGGTAGTTCTATTTTTTTTTGCAGATATTTATCAATTATCTGTCCGCAGGTGGTGTCTCTGTCTGGGGAGATTGAAAAAATTTCAATTTTTTATTTTGGTGTTTTTTAATGGGCAAGTCTTTAAAGTTTTTTTTTTTTAAGCTTAAATTATTAGGTCAAAAATAAAATCGCAATGACATCTACTGTTCGTCGCTGAAAGCGAAATGTGAGGTTTCTGAATAACCGACCATCACTCGACAATCAACGAACATTTTATATCAGTTTTTCAAGTTTGAAATACATAATTTATGAAAACAAAGATTAATAATACTGCATGCTTAGATAAAAAAGTGGAATAAATCAATAAATTAAAAAAAAAAAATTTTACTCGGAAAGGCGAGAGTCTCAACGGGCTTGGAGTGTTGCTGCAGTGCCTGGAAGAGCTTTTTTACCTGCGTCGACTTTCCCGCTCGATCCGGTCCCTCCAAAACGATAAACGCTCCTCGTGGCATGGCTCTGATACTCTTGAGTGAGTGTGAAAAATACACATGCATTCTGATTACTGAGTCAACGATAACGGGGCAGGTAGGTACAGGTGAATGTCTTAATTTTTACTCACCAATGGAAATCTTCGCCAAAGTAAAAAGTGATTGTGGCTTTTCAATAGTGGATACACTTATGCTGCAAAACTGCTATTATTTGGCAGTAATCTAATGAATTTTAATTGAGGCAAGAGAAAAAATTGTTACTTAAAAATTATTAAAATATATCGATGCTGAAACACCAGAAGTTCTAATCAGCGTATTAGCTCCGAAAAGTCGAAAGTGTTTACGACAGGCTCTGATGACAGCAACCAATAAACATTTTTTCACATTTCGAAACTGCGTCTCTCGAGTGTCGCAGTCGTATGATATGATATATGATGTTCGGATTTTAGTACTGACCTCTTGTGGCTAAATTGATAACACTCAACTTACGAATCAAATTTATGAAATATAGGCATTAGAAATTAAAATTTTAAAAGAATTCTAGGATATTCATAAAATAATATCCAATTATATGTCTCATTGACAAAAAAAATGCATATTCATGCGGAGCACAAATCCGATGATTTAACGAATAATGTTAAAAATGATAAAATTTAAAAAATTGGAGTAAAAACAAACGTATGTGGATCAAAATTTTTTTCAGATGACAAGCTATATTTCAAAATGTTGTTCTGAGAAAATTTTGAGATTATTGGAAATCATGTATATATTATCATAAGTACTCATAAACAATATAAAAGTATTAATTATGAAACAACTAGAAAAAAATTAGTCTGAAAGAGCGTAAATAATGAAATAAAACAGCCATTTTTCAAACAATAACAGCATCGTAAGGTTTGGAAAAAATACGTTGAATCAGAAAAAATTTAAGTCCTGTACATATTAACAAACTAAGTAAGTATATAAATCAGCCAAGAAATTTATTTTGCAACAAGATTTCCCTCGATGGCTCGAATACAGATAAGTATATATTTGGAGACGTGGAGCTCACTTTGTCGTTACATTCTATACGCGCTCAGTGTATTTAGTCTTACCAACGTAGCTTAGTAAATCCTTTTAAAAAAGTTCATTTTTTGAAATAGTAAGTAGTTCTTTTGGGATTCTGTTTTGTCGAATATTCCGTTTTCGTACCTCCGCCCTGACTTTGCCCAAGTGAAATATTATTTTGTTGTTAATTATTTATCTATTGTTTTTGTTATTAATTAATTGTAAACAAGTAAGAAAGAGGAAGAGCATAAGCACAGGGATTATTTTGTCAAAGAGGTGCTTATTTTATTCGTAGATCCAATTTGAATTGCGCGTGCCTAACATTCGTGTCTACTTTTAATTAGCCATAGCAAAATATATTAATAAAGTAAGAGAAAGACAGTATGGAATATTGTCTCTCTTGCATTTACGCGATATTATTTTTACGTGTGGGTGGCGGGGAATATCCAGAGAATTAAGTAGTTGTGTCGTGTACCTACATCTATTTCAGCTTTTGACGTATCGCTTCCTTATCGATAGGTATTGGCGACACGCCCCAACATATAGCACAAAAGTGTATGCTAACCTTTTTGTTTCCATCTCGTATCATCACCTTTTGCAAACTGGAAATAAGGAACTTGTAACTTTTACATTTGATAAAGGTAAATATACAAGTATAGAGTTATTACACCCATGGTGAGAGTGTAGGTGTTAATTAAGCTCCAGTAATCAACTATCTTATAACCATAAGGTCTAACCCCCCTCCCGCATATATAAAATCGCTACCTCTAGGAAGTGATACACAATAAGTACGAAAGCGTTACTTCGAGGCCCGGTGTTTCGCGGCCTCCGCGAGTTCTGCCCTGTCATCTCCAAACACCTGTTTTCGTCCACGCCCTGTAACCTGAATCCTCGAGTCATCGGTGAGACAGTAGCCAAAATGACTGCCCAAAAGTTCGTTTATCCGGAGGCTCGTCGGGACGAAACTGCCATCGAAGTCTACCACGGAGTAAAGGTGAGTGAAAACAACTTGGTTTTTTTTTTGTTCGTAAAAATTGTATGCTTACGTGTCATTCCTCGACTTGATACCTGCTTACTAGCATTTACAAAAAATTTGAATTGGGCACTTTTCTAGGTTGCCGATCCCTACGTGTGGCTGGAAGATCCGGACGCCGAAGAGACTAAAGCTTTCGTCGATGCTCAGAATGCCTTGGCCATACCCTTCCTGAATTCCTGCCCAAAACGCCAAACCATTCATGATCGACTGAAGCTGCTCTGGGACTTTCCCAAGTACTCTTGCCCCACCAAAAAAGGAGATAAATATTACTTTTTCATGAACACTGGCCTGCAGAACCAGAGGTATACCTAGAAAACTTTTAACTTAACCATGTATTATACCAAATACTTATCCTTACTTCTACTGTGATTTTCAATTGGCTGCTGTGTTTTTTCCTTTTTTACTTAGTGTACTCTACGTTCAAGATACCTTTGAGGCTGAGCCAAAAGTTTTCCTCGACCCAAATACATTATCTGAGGATGGAACAGTAGCTGTAACCAGTGGCGAATTCAGTGAAGATGGTTCGATTTATGCATATGCTTTATCTGCCAGTGGCTCTGATTGGAATACTATTCACTTCATAAATACAAAAACTGGTATAATTATTGTTTTACCTACATTCAAATCATAAAATAATTTTAAATAGTAATTCTGTACTATAATATTGAAATTTTGAAAATTGTCTTGTCTATCTAATAATTATATGCTTGTTAAAAATATTTTTTTAATTTATTCCTTGCAGGTGAAAAATACCCCGAAGTTCTGGAAAAAGTCAAGTTCTCGTCGATTTCTTGGACCCATGATAATCTGGGTATTTTTTATTCTTGTTTTCCTCATCAGCAGGAAAAGCATGATGGTTCAGAAACTTTTGTTAGCAAAGATCAAAAGTTATGCTACCATATAGTTGGAACATCCCCAGAAGAAGATAAAATAGTAGCGGAGTTTCCTGAAAATCCGTTATACAGATTGTAAGTAACACTAAATTCATACATTCTGTCCAAAAATTAATGGCCATATGAATTTTAGGAATGGACAAGTGACAGATTGCGGAAGATGGTTAGTGGTTACAACGCGGTTGGAGTGTCGTGATAATCTAGTTTTCTTCACAAAACTTGACCCTAAAAAAAAAATTGATGGAAAATTAAATTTAACCGAAGTGGTTGGAATTTTGGAAGCTGATTATGAGTATGTGGCTAACCTTGGTACAAAAGCCATTTTTAGGACAAATAAAAATGCTCCCAACTACAAGTTGATAGCTATAGATCTGGAAAACTTCAAAGAAAACAGTTGGGAAGAATTCATTCCAGAACATACACATAATGTTTTAAATTGGGCCTCAGCAGCAGACAAAGACAAACTTGTTATTTCATATATGGAAGAGGTTAAAGATGTTTTAGGAGTGTACAGTTTAGAAACTGGAAAGTTACTTAGACCGTTACCTTTAGACGTAGGAACTGTGGTTGGCTTTTCTGGAGACAAAAAGAACTCTGAGATATTTTACCAGTTTATGTCTTTTTTGACACCTGGAATCATTTATTCATTGGATCTTCAACAGGATAAAGAAATGCCAAAAGTAATTATTCGATCTTCTATATTATCTACCTTTTTGTCGTCAAATTGTCTTTGTAACAATCATGGTTAACAAATTACAGGTGTTCAAAGAAATTAAAATCAGTGGTTTTGACCCAAGCCAATACCAAACGAAACAAATTTTCTATTCCAGTAAAGACGGAACCAAAATTCCTATGTTTATTGTGTCCAAAAAAGTAAGTTTAAATCTATTTAACCAAAACTTTTGGAGGAAAGAAGAAAAACTAATAAATAAATTTTATTTTAGAACATTGTACTAAATAGTTCACCACCTGCTCTTCTTTATGGCTATGGAGGTTTCAATGTTAGTCTCCAGCCTGTATTTAGCATCATGAGAACAGTATTTTTGCAACATCTTGACGGTGTCATAGCCGTGGCGAATATTCGCGGAGGAGGGTAATTGTTGATTATTTAATAATATTGCAAATCCTTGAAAAAAAAATCAATTACTGAATAACACGATTTACGCACTTTTCAGAGAGTATGGTGAAAAATGGCACAATGCTGGGCGATTTGGCAACAAACAAAATTGTTTCGACGATTTTATATCGGCTGCTGAATATTTGATTGACAACCGATACACGTCATCAGACAAATTGACGATTCAAGGTGCTAGTAACGGAGGACTCCTCATTTGTGCTTGCATCAATCAGAGACCTGATCTTTTTGGTGCAGCTATCGCTCAAGTTCCGTTAGTAATTTAAAGTTTCACTTGAGACAAACAAAATAAATATCTTTTACCTGTTCTTTTTCTTAAACTTACTTTTTATCTTCCTAGAGTTACGGACATGTTGAAGTATCACAAGTTCACGGTGGGATATGCCTGGAAGTCGGATTACGGTTGCTCGGATAAAGAAAAGGATTTCAAAGTTCTCATAAAATATTCGCCCATACACAACGTAAGAAAGCCAGACAAAGAAGGAGTGCAGTACCCAGCTACACTGGTGATGACTGCCGATCATGATGATCGCGTCGTACCTCTGCACAGTTTGAAAATGATAGCAACGCTTCAGCACGAAATTGGTAGCTTGCCGCATCAAACGAAACCCCTACTTGCCAGAATTGAAGTCAAGGCAGGCCATGGTGCAGGAAAGCCAACAACCAAACTGGTAAGCTTTTTTTGGAACGGTCTTATTTCTTGGCAATATCGTAACAAAACTTGCAATGCAAAAAAAAAAAAAAAAAAAAAATTGAAAATTATTGAAGTATAAAAACAAACAGATCCATATAATACTCAAATAAGTTATTCAATGCATTAGAAAAAAAAATTTCTTTAGTAGATTTGAAAAAAAAGCCAACAATAATATAGAGCGTTAAATTTTACGTGATGTCATGTCATGTAACAATTTTTTACGTAAGGAGTAACGACGTGCGTTCCCACTCTTGAAGTTTGATGCTCTTTATTTTCATCAGTTTTTGTTTCGTGAAAAAAGTAAGAACACATGTTCAATATTTTTCGATTATCAATGTGACGGACTTGATAAATTAAAATCAAGTTGTCAGCAAATGTGCTCAAGTAATATTGAAAAACTTTTTTTCTTTTTTTTTAACTATAACTATAATTTTTTTTATACTATGTCCTTAATCTGGTTTGTTACGTTATTGCAGTAGACATTTTTTTATTTAAAACAACTAATGAGTTGAAAATGTTTTCTCGTTTCTCCAACTTTCCATAGATTGAACAAGCTACTGACATTTTGTCCTTTGCGGTGCAAACATTAAACCTCGAATTCCATTAAATGGCATTCATCAAAGTCAGAGTAAAACAATACTTAATGCTTTTGCATTTAAAATAAATTTTAAAATAAAAAATAAAAATTTTCTATAAATCACCGTGTTTTTCTTTGACAATCCTTTGAGACATTTTTGTTAAAATATTTTACAAATTTCGAGAAAATAATTCTTTTGAAAAACATTTGTCTTTTGAAGTCCGCGTTTATCAGCAATCGCATGAAATGTAAAAATTAGTATTTAGTTGAATTAAAAACTATCATGACGTAACAAGTGCTCCTCTGAAAAAGGAACATGACCTTTTCTACCCTCGTATCCAGTCCGACTTGTAAAAAAATCAAAACACGTGACGCACGTCGCTCGTTAGGAAGCATTAGCGCGACAGAGGATCGTCGGAGATGAAAAACAATGCTTTGAAAATCTTGCTCGGGCGTAAAAGGTATCCAAAAACCAAACGACCCAAGGACCTTCAACGGCAACTCGGCTGTTTGACAACAGACTCTCTCCCTCCGTCACTACCACCATCATCAATCTCAGAGGGCAATGACCAGCGTCTTCGCATCCCCTTCCAGTCATCCAAACTTACTTGAACAAAATTTCCAAATCCCATGTTGTACCTACCTGTAGAGCAAGGTCGGGCTCAGCTGATTGGTCGCCGCTCGCGCGAAAGCAATTGACCTGCGGGGGAATAATCGGCGGCGATCCTCGACCACGGCGTAGACGAAGGAGCAGCCAGCCTGGCGCCCATTCCGCATCCCAACGGCGAGAGCTGCACATCGCCGTGGGATTCGTTAACCAACACTCGACTGAGCAACACTCGAGGATCTGTTGGAAGAGAGAGAACGCGCCTTCTATTCGATCTTTGCCCAAGTGCGTTGCAAGTTCGAGGAGGAGGAGGAGCTGCAAATCAGATCCATCGAGGTATTTTTTTTTTTTTTTTTTTCATTCTTTCTCGCTTTTCTTCAGTGATCAAAGCTCAACTTTTTTGTTTCCAACTATATTTTTTCAAATTCGTCGTCGTCGTGCCACGATGCTCCTGGGGTTTCAGAACCACGTGCTCGCGGTGATTTTTTTTTTTTTTCCTGGTATTCCCACCAAATTTTTATGCGTCGTATTTTATTACGTAATTGCAACTGTGTGTTTTCAAACACGATAAAACGTAAATTCAACTCAGCGCTCGACGATCGTTCAACCCCTGTAAGCGCGACGACGACTGCAAAGTCCACGATTAAAATGTTGCTAATCCGTAGATTAGCTGTGAGACGACGGAAAGACTTTGAGCAGTTAAAGTGGCAACAAACGACGAGCGGGACACCTCTGTGGACATGCGGCCCAAAATCGGCAGTGAGCTGCTGTTCCCGAAGGAGCGCAAGCTCACCGAGACGATGTCCGAGACTTCCGAGGGTACGACGACGACAACCACGACCAGCGTGTCCGGCAAATCGAGCATCGACAACGCCGAGGAGATCCGCAACCTCGCGGCCATCCTCGACATTTCCAACCCCGATGATCTGGAACAGGAGAGGTTCCGCGTCGATCGGCGCAAGCTCGAGCAGATGCTGCTCGGTGAGTACAATCCTACATCGATCCTCGTAGCTTTTTTTATTTTTCTACATGGCCTCGAACTAATTGTCGCGCCGTTAGGATCATTCGATATCAGGTAGACGAATTTCTCTGAATTTCGCAATTTTAAATGTTTCGGCAGTACACGTACGTTATTCATCCGTCGATCTTGATAAAAGTTCAAATATGAGCGCACAAGTGTGTGTAAGTGGAGTAGAAGAGGCCCAACTTACACGTTGTCAGTGGTGTGTGTATTTAATTGTATGCCTTGGCCTGTTGTTGGTAAATAAAATTATTCGGCACCGACTTTGCGCGCTCGTACAGATATGATATATTATTACCCATGAATTTCAAGAGCTCGTCGGTGTAACTGTACTGATTTTCGGTCGTTATTCATTAATGAGCGTTAAATCTTTTAGAATCTCAGCCGAAATAGCTCTTTCGTCTGGTGAAATGGTCTTTTTTTTTTTCAAGCAGTGTTATTTTTCCCGTTGGGAAATTTCGTGCTTTTAAAGTGCCAACATCGTCGTTGTTTCGTACAACTTTGTGGATCATACGTGCATCGAAAATGTAATTAGATAAAATATCGCGCTCGCTGATGTCCAACTTTATCCGATGAATCATTGAGATCGACAGAAATTTAATTTTAAATACACTCGAGTAGAATAATTTGTTTTCGTCAACCTTCCGACGATAAACAAGCACCCGAACTTTATAAATATACAGAGGCACGCATGGAACAAGCCACACATGCTCAGAGAGTTAGCGCGAGCGCGTACACTTTTGATATAAAAGCTACGCAAGACTTGATGTTTTGATACGGAGTCATTGACCACAACCGGGTCTGCGCGTGCAATTTCCGAAAGCTCCCGTTGTGCAACATTGCCATGTTGTACTCATAAGTTTTAATAAACAAAACATTTCCAGTGGGTTTGTTTTGAAAAAAAAAAAAAAAAAAAAAAATTTTTGATTTTACGATAACCTACAGTTTGATCTTAATATTACGTATGAATTATCTACTGTAAATCCACAATGCAGAGTCAAATGGAAATTTTTGGCTGTTTTGTCATTTATTTCGCTGGCAACCAAGTACACACCCACACGCTCGATCCCTCGCGTAAGATTAGAATATCTCGAAGAGTACGAATGATTTGGAGTGTATTTCGCGAAAAAAACGTTTATCAAGTTAAATAATCTAACGCTATATACCCTCTTTTCCATGCCACCTCTTTGCCAACTTGTGCAGGCGACACCGAAGGCGAGACAGCCGAGAAGTTTTTCCAAAAGGTGAGTTATTTCAAAAATTTTTATCTACTTTTATTTTTTTATTTTTGTTTGTCAACAAAGTTCGAGCCACGAGGCTGGTTACAGAAAAATAAACTCGTCGTGTACCTGCAAAGTCGTGATAGGTTGCCGGCTAGCCGGTCGTGCTCGTGCGTTATTACGATAAGTTGCGTGTCTCGTGGTGTTTGCACTTGTGTGTGTGTGTGTGTGTGTGTGTGTATTCATTTGTGTCGTCAATCGTCAAGCTGATCGTGTATATATTATTATATCTATATTATATGCTCGTAAACGCGTGTTGCATAAAAGACCCGATGCATAAATACTTATACCTATTTTTTGAGCAGCAGCGATATAGAGCTGGAAATACTTACGTAAAATCCATGTACGCACTTATTGGATCAACAAAATTATTTATTTTTTAATTTAACATTTTAAATACTTCATTGTATTAACGACGCGCTTTTTTTTTTGAAATATCACCATATACAATTATTCGTTGAATATAAGTATATATGCATTCGTTGTTAACAATTATAATTTAATGATAAACGAACCCCAATCGAGTGGGTGAAAACTTTTCATTCGAACATAACAAGGTAAACGTTTGGCCCTGTTTTCCCCTGATGCACCGGTAATCGTGTGTGAGGATGAATTAATTTATTATTTTGGAAAACAGTTTATCGTTACCTGGTTCTCATTTCTTCGATACTCACTGGTTGAAAAAATAAAATGAAATCATTGGTTTGGATAAACCATCGATAGCGCACTGTAAACCATAGTTACCCATTAGCTCTTTAGGGCTAAATGCAATTAATTGTAAATTTTTGTTGATTCATCGGTGCGAGCGAGTAGGTATGGATATTACAATCACACAGCAGTGTTGCTGTTCGGGTGGTTGAGTACACGGAACATACTCTCACACGAGGCATATCGGTACCCATGTGAAACGAGCAGAGAAAGAGAGCGAGAGATGGTCCACCGGGTGGTGATTATTTATAGGGCCACCTTTAAAAATATACACGTACCACCCGGCCGAGGCCGGCACGCGGCCCCACGTGTGTACGGATACATACACGCATACGCGCGCGTGTGTACGTAATTACACAACTCCGGGACGCGCAAGGTCCAGCCATTAGCCGGTCGGCGTCGAGTGAGTTATAGTACAACAACTGCACCTACCGCGCACACTCATTGTACATATTATCTTCGGCTCTCGTATGACAACGAGGCACATGGCGAGCGATTATTAAGTGTGGGGCCGCGACGCGATGCTCGCCGTTATACTTATACGTGACATAGTATTATCACTTGGACTGCTGCTGCGCCGCGCACTATATACTTACTTGTATACCTACCGGTGCTGTGGCTCTCTTCGCAAAGTGAGGCGATAACAACGTATACCTATATATAACCGTCACGCGCCGATCTGCAGGGACTCTCGTCACTCGCGACTATTGTCTCCGCGTGGAAAGTCAGTCCGTTTCCATGTCCGTGAGTTGTTTTTTTCCCCCTTTTTTCCTTTTTCCGTTCGCGTTCATATACGCACACCTGCCCCTGTGCGCGTTAATAACCGATCCATTGCATTACGTAGCATCGGCTAGTGTGCCGTGGCGCGTCTACGAATATATATATACATAGACACTCGATAGATAAGAGCCATACCTATAATAATATCGGCAGAAACATAGTTGGGGGAAGAGGGGGGCAGCATGACCAGGAATGATTCAGTAGCAGCGGTTCGGAGTAAAGACCGGAGGGGCTCGTCGCGCCGACTGCAGAGGCACCAACACCACCAAGAGGTTTGCCCCCTGCACTTTATTGCTCTTTTCTCTTTAAATACTCTGTGTGTACACCATGCACCGACACTTGCTTTTTTTTATACTTATGTATATTTATTTGCCAACTATATGTATACTGTCACTGCAACGCTCGAGCCGTCCTGTCTGGCTGTGGAGGGAGCAGCGCGATCGTTATGCAAGCTCCGGGCCCCTCTGTTGTTTCGTCGTTTCATTTGCCCGGTTCGAGTATAAACGAAAGTTTATCTAAATGGGGAGTGACGACTGCTCGTTTAAATTCGATTAGAAGACTTGACGAAAAAACAAATTTCAATAGTCCCCGACACACTCGTTGGCGTTGGTCTCGTTAGAAGCACGAGCTCGTGATGAAATCAACACGGCGGGTGGGATTTTTTTTTTCTCCCGGTTGCCAATATTACCGGTCAAACCGACCGATTTTGTGACGCGCACCCGATTGTCGGGGTTTTAAATCAACACGGCGGGTGGGATTTTTTTTTCTCCCTTTTTCCAATATTACCGGTCAAACCGACCGATTTTGTGACGCGCACCCGATTGTCGGGGTTTTAAATCAACACGGCGGGTGGGATTTTTTTTTTCTCCCGGTTGCCAATATTACCGGTCAAACCGACCGATTTTGTGACGCGCACCCGATTGTCGGGGTTTTTTCCCCTCAAGATTACCCTGCGCGGTGCGAATGAGCTGCGGCAAGCAATCGCGCAAACTGCCCGGTACTCGCAAGGTCTCGCGCCGAAGAAAAAACTGGATGTGTAATTTCGAGATACGAGGCTCGGATTTTCCCGAATCAAAAGTCATCGGCACGTGTTGAAATTCAACTGATTTGCTCGATGGAAAACCAACCGCGGTATATTTATGTTGCGCGCATCGCGAGCATAAAACATCATATATAGATGCGATCGGCAGTGATGCACCGCACGCACCACCGCGATCTAGGCGGACTACTGCTCGGTCATTACCGTATGTACCTACCTGTACCCAATGTAAATCTAATGGATGATGACAATGACCGTGGAAAAAAGCTCGCCTCTCGTTAAATTGACGATCTTTCTCGCTCTCTGTTGCAGGTCATGGAGGATACCAACACGTACGTCACGTGGCCGTCGAGGCTCAAGATCGGCGCCAAGTCGAAAAAGGGTATAACTACTAAACGATTGCCCGCTGCACGCTCTCATTATTTCTTCACTTTCTCCCTCTTCGCGGTACTTTATCTTATTATTGGAGTGTAGCATTCTGCACTCGTTATTTCTACTTATCGTATCGCTTACGAGACTCTTTTTCCTCGTGTTTCCTGAGCTATTTCGATCTTCCGCGGTAACTTTGAATCATTTCCCGTAACACGTTGATTTCTCGTCGCAGATCCGCACATCAAAGTTTCCGGTCTTCCGGACAACGTTCGCATGGCCAAGGACCAGATATCGCAAGTCTTGGACACACGGGTAAGTACTGCTCTCTCTTTGTTTTTTGGCATATAGAGTCCCTGCTTTTCTACCTCCCCCCCCCCCGCCACCTCGTATACGCTTACACAATAATTGCATGGCTCTTGATTGTTTGAATTTTTAGCAAAACAACCGAGTGACGATGAAGTTGGACGTCAGCTATACCGATCACTCCCATATCATCGGCAAGGGCGGACTTACAATCAAGAAAGTCATGGAAGACACCAACTGTCACATTCACTTTCCTGACAGCAACCGCAGTAACCACCAGGAGAAGAGCAACCAGGTGTCCATTGCCGGTGATATGGAGGGTGTCGAAAACGCTCGAGCACGCGTCAGGGTAATCAGTTTGTCCCTTGTCTACTGTTTTTTCATGCACCGCTCAGCTCGCGGCTAAGTTAACGAACTATCCTACTTGTACCATTAGAAAATACTTACGTTCGAAGAATAATACAAATCTTGGCTCTATATTTATCAACAGTTGGCTTTTTTTTTTACTCCATACTTGATACTACATTTTCCGAGCTACAGGCTTAGAAAGGCATTTGATTAATTTATTTTTTATTTTTTACTGCTTGCTAATCATTTTTCTGATTAAAAAAAAAAAAAAAAAAAAAAATTGAAAATTATT